CCCCCCGGCCCCCCCCCCCCCCCCCCGGCCCCGCCGCCCCCGGTACCGGCCCCTTCCACCCTCCCCGCCCCGGCTGCCGCAGCGCCGCTGGCACCCGCGGCACTGCAGCACCGGAGCCCCGCTGGCATCACCCCCGGGCCGGCAACACCCCCCGGCCCGTACCGGAGCCCCCCGGAATGGCACCGGAGCCCCGGGCCGGTGCTCGGCACCCCGCACCAGCGGGGGCTGGAGTGGAGCAGCCGGTGCCAGACCCCTCCCAGCCGGGATCAGACTGTGTGCCCCCACCCAGGACAGGAACACCAGTATGAGAACTCCCCAGTCAATACTGGGAACCTTGAGACAGAATCAAACCCCCTCAGCCACTGCTGCCCCCCCTTCCAGCCAGTGCAGGACCCCCACACCAGTACCAGCCCCTCCAGCCAGTTCCAAACCCTCCCAACACCAGTACCAGGCTCCCCAGCCAGCACAGGGCCTCCAGCTGGGATTGGAGGTCCCCAGCCTGTACTGTGTTCCCCTCAGCTGGTACCGAGTCCCCGACCGGTCTCCAGTCCCCAGATGGTTCCCAGAGCCCCTACAGATTGTCCTGGTGCTGCCAACCAGTATCAGAACCACAATCAGACAACCCCAGCTGGGACTGGAGCCCCCAACCAGCTGGAACCAAGCCCCTGACTGGTGCCAGGGCTGGTGCTGGCTGTGGGAGCCTGGCCGTGGATGGAGCTGGCAGTTCCAAGGGGATGGTGCTGAAACCAGGGAGTGCTGGCACCCACAGCACCGGGGACATGGGGCCATTCTGGACTGTCCCCAGTGGGTGGGTGATGTCACCCAAGGGTTCTGTGGAGTCCCCACTCTTGGGAAGCATCAGAACCAGGAGTCCTTCTCTGCTCTGATTTTGGGGGATGCTGCAATGCTGTGTTTCCTCCTGGTGGTAATGGAATGATTTTACGGAGATGAATCCCAGTAAATTCCTGTTTGTTGCATTGGGAGCAGGGGAGAGCAGCATGGAGGGTGACACAGCTCATGGGGGGAGGCAGCACAGCCACAGGCTCCCCAGGAGGGGCTGTCCTGGACGGCACAGACTCACAGAGGGATGCATCAACCATCAGAGAGGAGGGACTATTCCCTCAGGACTGAGGGTGGGACACAGACCTGGAGACCACCAGCTCCAGCTCTTCCTTCTGGGGGTGCCCAGGGCCATCCTTGGGCTCAGGCTCAGGCTCCCTGTGGAGGGCAATGGCAACCTCTGTCTGTGTCTGACCAGGGGACAGGGGCTCAGCTGAGTCACCACAGGCTCCAGAGAGGGGAGGATGCAGGGGCTCCAGTGGCCCCAGCTCACCACAGAGGTCAGCTGCCCTGGGAAGGCCCTGAAGCTCCCCCAAAAGAGCAAATTGGGGAAAACTGGGCAAACTGAGCAAACTCCCAGTTCACATCCCTCACCCTCCTCCAGGACAATCTTTTTGGACCTTTTTGTGTTACCACTCCAAGTCCCTCTGCAGCTCAGCTCGTTACCCTCAGAGGCATCAGGAACCAAAACCTGAGAGGCAGCTGCACCTCAGCCTGGTTTGAGCAGAGGATGTGCTGAGGGTCATGCTCAGACTGGGGGGCTCAAAGCCCCCCCAGGCCGTGTGATGGGGGCTGCACTCACACACAGGGACATCTGCAAAGGGGGCTCTGGGGGCTGCACAGGAACAGGCTCCAGGATGCACCTTCTCAGCCACACCCAGGGGGTTCCTGGCTGGCAAATGCTCCTTTTGAGGCAGATCCACACAGGGCAGGCAGGCATCCAAGCTGGGAACTGCTGCCTTTGGACCTTCCTCTTCCTCCATGCAATGAGGGGAGGAACTGCAGCATCAGGTGCAGCAGAGATGATTCAGCACCTGCTTGGCTCTTCAGGAGCTCTGAGGCTGCTGAGGGGGACAGTCCCTCCCAGTGCCCTTCTCGTGGTCCTCAGCACCACAGGGACAAAGAGGTGCCCAGCCAGGGTGGATCTGCACCTGGCACCAGGGAGCAGCTGTTCTAGAGGAAGGTGTCCCTGCCCTGGCCAGGGAGTTGGAACTAGATGATCTTTAAGGCCCCTTCCAACCCAAACCATTGCAATACTCTGAACACCTGATCCAAGGTCTGCAGGGTCCCCAAGGGGGCATGAAGCAGCTGTTTCAGTCCCCCAGAGCAGGGACACCATGGTGTAAGTCATTAGTCAGCATGAGGAGGGGGCAGGGGGCGCCTGGGGGTCCCTTTCCCCTCCCTGGAAGAGCCAGGCTTGGTGAGACAACTGCTGATGGCAGTTCATGACCATGAGGTATCCCAGTCTCCACAGTCTCTGGAGCTGGTCACAGAGGCCAAGGGCCTGGAGGGGCTCCTGTGTCCCCAGGGCCCCCTCTGTTGTCTGAGGGCACAGAGCTGGTCACTCCTTCCAGGGGGCCAAGCACACCAGGACAGTGGCTGGTTGGTGCTCCAAGCTTCTCTCTCCCAGGGATCACCGTCCTGCTGGGACAGCCTGTGGCTGCAGGGACTTCTCCATGGCAGAACCCTGAGCCCAGTGGGGCTCAGCTCCTGCTGCAGTTTTGATCAGACCTTCATTGCAGGGGCTGCAGCAGGTAAAGAACTGGAGTTTGGCTGCTGCACTGGAGGATTTAGCTCAGGAGGAACCTCTGAAGCCTCGTGTGTCCCAAGTCCCTGCTCCCACTGCACGATCCCACTTCAAGTCTTCCCTTTGAGGCTGAAGGAGGGAGTGTTGTCCTGTGCTCAAGGACTGAACATCTCCAAGGACAGACAGACCCCACTCCTCTGGGTGCCTGGCCCAGGGCTGTCCCACCCTCCTGGGCCCTGAGCCTTTCCTTTTCCCAGCCTGCAGCTGGAAGCAGCTTAACACAGCAGGGTTGGCTCTGTTCTGTTTGGAACTGCCCTTCAAGAAGCCACAGGTTACTCTTAGACACTCCAGAACATCCTCTTAGCCAGCCCAGCCCAGCCCTGACCTCCATCCCTTGGCCCCATGCCCTGGAGAGGTCTCCTAGTAGGGTCCTACTAAATGTTCTCCGGTTTCTCCACACCCCTCCTTGCTGGGTGCCACCCCTGCACTGGGTAGAACAGCTTCTTAGTGCCTGCTGACCACACTCCTCTGGCAAACCACAGCTGGGGTGATGTTCTGGGGCTGCACAAACCACTGTGCCCCCTTCATTGTGGTGCCCACAGACCCCTTCCAGCAAAGCTTCCTCCACCCAACCCCTACTGCTCTGCTCCTGCCCCCAGACACATTTCACCCACAGTAAGGCAGAGCAGGATCTCATCCTTCCATTTTATTTCAAAGTTTAAGTTTGTAAAAAAACCCCAAACAAGTTAAAACCACCTGAAAATACTCAAAGACAACCCCCAGACCAAATGAGGAGTACAAATCTCATCCCCATGACCCTCCTTTCCCAAGTCTTTGCAGCTCTGGGGACTATGTGAGAGGAGGAACAGGCTCTGCTCTCCCTCTGGAAGGCCAAAGAGCACACTGTTGTTGGAGGGAGACTTCCAGAGGCACTTGGAAACAGCCTGTGAGGACTTCTTAAGAGTAAGCTGCTGGCTCTAAACATGGCCAGCAGAGAGGAGGGAAGATCACAGCCAAGGACAGCACAGCCACTGCATCACCATCAATTCCCAACAGGAGCTGCCCAGGCTGCTGGTGCTGTCCTCACTCTTGGATCCTGACACAGAGGGTGCCTTGGTAAATCCCTTCCCAGCCCCTACTCAGCTCCCACTGAGGGTCCAGAGAGCAGCCTGGAGGTGGTTTTAGCTGCCAAACAATGTCCCAAATATGGGGAAAGAGGCTCCTCTGGTCCCTGTGCAGCAGTTCCTGCAGTTCTTGTCCTCTGGGCCCGCCCAGGCCAGATCTGACTCCTCCAGCACGGAGCAGAGCTGAGCCGTGTACCCGCTGTCCCTCACACTGACGTGTGTCTGCTGGAGCAAGTCCCCATCCCCAGCTGGAATCCTGTGGCCCCTGGCACCCGTGAGGCTGGGGAGCAGCTGCACATCCCAGTGTGACTCCAAGGAGCTCCTGCTGAAGCCGTGAGCAGCCCCTGGGCCCTGGGGAGCAGGCGGGAGGAGGCCGGGGCTCGGCGCCCGCTCTGTGCCCTGCCTGGGGACGTCGGGAGCTCCAGGGGCTGTTTCTTCTGCTGCCCTGACACGGAGTGAGCAGCAACATCTGGCTTCAGCCACAGGCAGTGTGGGAGAGGGCAGGCAGCCAGCAGGGCAGCTGGTCCTGCTCGCTGTGCTCTCCAGACCAGGCCTGTTCCCATTCCTGGGTGTGTTGTCACTGTCCCTTCCACGCTGCTTCCCTTGGGATCTCTCCCTGCTCCAGCCATGCTTGCTGACAGTGCTGGCTGCTGCTGCCTCCCCAGGATCAAAACCTGCAGCCACAGCTCCCGGGGATCCTGGCTGGGATACAGGGTCCCCAGGGCTGTCACACAGGCACAGATCCAAAGCAAGGGAGCTGTGAGGTCTGTTGGAGAGCTCTGTGCCCAGGGGCAGGCTGCCAGCCCCCACCACACTGGGCAGGCCTGGCTCAGACACCTGCCCTGCACCCTGTGTCCCCATCCCACCTCCCACCAGCTCCATCTGCTCACCCAGAGGGGAGAGGCCAAAACCCAGCTCCAGCCTGGGCCTCTTTTGCACCTGGGAGCTCTGTCTGGAGCACAGCTGGCGCTTCCTGGAGGCAGGCTGTGCTTGGGGAGGGGGGCTGACAGACCCAGGCAGTGTATGAGGTTCAAAGGATGAAGCCATTGCCTCTCTGACAGGAGCATGAGGCCCCCAGCCCAGCTCAGGAGCCAAACCTAAACCTGAAGCCCCCAGCCCAGCCTCCCCCACGGTGCCATGGGCAGCACAGACCCCTCTGCTGGGCCCTGCTCCCCTGGGCAGCTGCAGGGAGCTGTGCTTTGACAAGCCCCCTCCTCCTCTGGGATCTCTGACCCTGTCCCTGGGCAGGCAGGGGGAACATCCCTTGGTCTTCAGGCCATGATCCAGCTCTGTATCCATTACCAGTTCCACAGTACCCTGCTCAGGCTGCTCCCCTTCCTTTCCCAGCTCTGCTGGCAGCAGCTTGATTCCTCCAGTGCTGTGTGCTTGAGGCACTACACGTTCATCTGCCAGGCAGGCCCAGGGCACCCTGAGAGGAACCATCCATCAGTTAATGCTCACCCAGCCCCAGCAACACACCCCCAGGGAGACCTCTCCTGCAGTGCAGGGTGTTTGCAGCCCTTGCCCAGGAGCAGGGAAGCAGTTTTAGCCTGCTGAGGCTCAGAATGCTGCTGCTGGCAGGGATAGGCAGCACAAGGGATCTCAGCTCAGTGCCCAGGCACAGGGGGCTACAGAGCAGCATGGTTTGAGTCAGACACAGGGACAGAAGAGGTGGGCTCAGCTGCCCTTTCTGGTTTAGGAGGCACTAGGAGTCCATGGGGAGTTCCCAGGAGGAGAAAACGCATGGAAGTGCAGGAACACGTCCCATGATTTGTCTAAGCTTTGCCCGGCAGGTTACAAGTTATTCCTGCTTCAGCCTCCGATTCCCAGGCACAGGGACCCCATTCCATGAATGTGCCATGCAGCACCCTGCTGCCTTTGGGCTGCAGGAGTCCCCAGATTCCCAGACTTACTTGGCTGACCACTCCACAAAGCTGTTGGTGAGCTGGGAGATGACATGATCCACGGGGATGTACTGGGAGTTGTCCTGGGCAAACCGCCGGTGCTGGGGGCTCTGGAGATGCTGGAAGGTGGCAGAGGCCCTTTAACAACACCTAAAGCTTTGCCAGGAGGGGAATTTGCAATAACAGGCACTTCCCATAGCCTAACAGACCAGAGGGCAAAGGGACAGAGAGCCAGTGTCTGGCAGGTTTGGGAACACAGAGTGTCTGGATCCAAGAGCAGCCCACAGCCTCCCCAGCAGCAATAGAATAGAATAGAATCCACCACCAGCACCACTGTCTGCCACTAACAGCTGGGCTCTGAAAGCCCTCATGCTTGGCACCTCACAGGAGATAAAAACCTCCTCCCACCTTTTCAATCTGCCTGTGCCCCGTGGCTGCCATGGAACAGCCTCTTCATCTTGTGGATCATGTAATAGGGTGATCCTTGAGGCTCTTGCACCCCAAGAGAGGAGCAGGTTGTGCTCCAACCTTCAAACCCACTGTGCTCTGACCTGCTGGGCTGGGCACACAGATATACCATGCTCCCACTCAGAGGCAGATCCTGCTGTATACAGCAATTCCTCCTGAAGGAGTTCATAGTGCTAACAGGCATGACATGGTTAACAAAGCCTCTGAGTGCCCCCAATAACTCTTGCAAGGAACCAGGTCCCAGGGGAACCTTTACCTTCTGCAGCTCTTCAAAGGTCTCTTGGCAGCACTCACAAAACCCCCTCCTTTTCCTGGGCACGGTGACGTGTGTGGAGCGGGGGCTCTTCCCCCCAGCGCTGTGCAGGGCACAGCCTTCAGCAGCCCTGCAAGGGACAGCACTGGGGTCACCCTGCACAACAGCACCAGCAGCACCCAGGACAGGGCTCCTTGTGCCCACATCCAAAGGCAGGTGGTTCCCAGATCCCAGGAACCAGCAGTGAGCAGGAGTGGGGTTAAACACTTGCACAGAAGGAACTACAGCCTACCTGGCTTGGCAGGAATTGGAGAGGCTTTTCAGAGGCTCAAATGGGCTGGAGCTTTTGGGTGCCAGGAAGTTGAGGTCAGGAAAGCTTTGGAACTGGTGATGGAAGGGCTGGAATTGCCTGAAAGCAGCAGATCAGGATATCAGACTCATAGCAGTGCTGGCAAAGCTTCAGAGCTGTCCCCCTTGAGCCTGGAGGGGCTCAAGGTGCCACCTCATTTATGATGAGATGCTGCCCAGTGCTCTCCTGTGGCTGTGCCAGAGTTCCCATTTCTCACTGAAAGTGTTAAACCCAGTTCCCAGTAACAGCCCCAATGGGGTGTGTTTTGGACAGAAGGCAAGTTTGCCTGCTCAGCCCAAATTCCACCTTTTGCCCCATGGCAGAGCAGTGCAGTATTTCCAGCTACCCCACAGCACAGGAGGGTTTTGATTCCCAGACCACATTTCTCCCCTCACACTTCATTGCACGCAGACCCCAATATCTGACTCTTAATTGAGATGCCTTAAATGCTGCCTTTGGAATAATTAATTTGCCCTGTGGGTGCTGGTAGAGTTACAGACTCCTCAGAAACACCACAGGGATCAGGTCCCCTGTGCCCAAGGCTGTCATCAAGTTACAGGCCCTGACCTCCCGTGCTTCAATCTCACTCCTCACTGCCGAGGGCTTGGGTGGATTAAGTGACCTGCTGAGAATCACACATGGAATCTGAGCAAGGAAGGAAACTGCTGTCAAGCCTCATTTAACACCTTTTTTCTCCCTGACACACAAGACACCTGGATTGTTTCTCTAAACCTCTAGGAGAGAATCAACTTCCCAGTGTGGAACAGGGTCTGCACAGGAGCCAGGCTCTGCCTCATGGGCAGAACAGTCCCTGTGTGATCAGTGGAGAAACCCTAAGGTTTTAGGGTAGGATATTTAGAAAGGTCTCATTTACCTGCTCTGGTCTTCAACTTTCAGAAAAGGGGGCTTCAATTTTCCTGCCAGAGAGAAACTTGGTTAGTTTTCCTGGCCAAATTCCCTGCTTAGTTACTCATTCCTCAACAGAACTGAGCTCCAGAGCTGAGTGCATCAGAACTTCTGGCACTGGTGAATGCCAAGTGGTGGCCAAGCACAGCCAAAACAGCTCTTTAGGTGATCTTTAACAGCCCTGGCCCAAATTGTGCAGTGGGGTGAGCAAGCCCCAGGCAGCCCATCCATGGGACATTTCCATTTTTGAAAGACTATTCAGTCATCCCTTCACATATTTAATGGCTCCTCAGTCTTGCAGCCACTGCCCTAACCCCAACCCTTCTGGCCCCAACCCCAAGAATTGTCACACAAACCCCCTCACAAAGTGAGTATGAGAAGGGAACTCAGGAACTGCAGCAGCTGCTGCACTGGCTCAGAGCTCTGCAACAACTTCCAGCACCTTTCCCTCCATTCACCCTGCCTCAAGTGCAGAACCTGGCTCAGGCCAGGATGGTGATGTCAAAGCAGGAAGGGTTGCTGGAGACAAACCAAGGTTCTGCCCAGGCAAGCCTGGCACCAGGACACTACTTGAGAGCAGTGTCTGGCCTCTGCTCAGCTCCTGAGGAGGGCAAACAGCAGCTTTGCTTCCTATGGAGGCATAAAATAGATGAGAGCAGAAGAGTCTCAGTAGAGCATTGAGGGAAAAGGTTTTCAGAGCCAGGCTGGAAGGGCAGGTTCCAAGATCCCTCCTGTCCTGCAGGTATGTTCCACTCACATTACGCTCACCCTGGAAACCTGAGTCCTGATCTGGCTAAGAAACAAATAAACACCAATGTGTTCCCACAGGGCATCTGCCTGACCCTGAAACCAAGCCTCTCCTGCCTCTGAAGGGCGAGGAGTTTTGTTTTCTTGTGATCCCGGCACTCAATGCTATTTTTTCCAAAGATATTTCACCCTCCTTCCCCAGAAAGGCTGAGCCCACCTGTCCTCACCAGCCTCACCCTCTGCTTGCCTCAAATGTGCTGCTACATCACTGAAGCTGCTATTTCAGTACAGGATTAAGTTCTTCCATGCCAACACTGCCAAATGCTCATCACTTCTGAGAGAGAGGCCATGTGCAGGCCCCAGATCCAGCTCAGATGGGCGCACAGGTCCTGAGTGATCCCAGCGGTGACAAACGGCTCCGATGGCACTGCGAGACCCCAGGCCAGGCTCAGTGTGCCCAGCAGAGATCTCAGAGCTTGCAGGCACAATCTGAACATCCAACAGCTTTTTGAGCCTTTCTTCAGCACCTTCCCCCACCCCAAGCTGGGAAATAACTCCCAAGTGTCTCACACACAATCCAGGTTGGAGTCTGCTCCAAACCATTCCCAAGCGTTCGCTCTCCGACGCACGGAGTCAAACAAGTCACAGATCAACTGACATCACCAGTGCCAATTTCAGCACCACAATTGGCTCTTGTCTAATTGTAGATGAGAACCTGGCTGTTCCCCCTCCCTCCTCCCTGGGAAGCGCCATCCCCAGATCGGTGTCTCAGCAGCACATCTCAGCCCAACAGAAGTGAGTGGGCTGGGAGGAACACACTCTCCTCTGCAGGATGCATTATTCCTCAAAACCTCCTTGAAGCTGCTGGATTCAATGTGCAGCAGCACTGTTTCAGGTGCCTGGGGATTCTGGGAGCTGGCAGCAAAGGGTTTTTAGGATTTTTAAACACAGTGTGAAATCAAAGGTCCTCAGCTGTCCTGGGAGGCTGCAGCCAGACTCCAACAAGGAGTAACAGAACCCATTCAAGGGGAACTGCCTAAAGAGTTGGCATATTTTGGGACTGTCAAAGGTTTTGATGCATTTCAAATTCTAAATGAGGCTTCTCCAAGCAGCTCCACATCTGAGCATAAACAGCAGCACAACTTCCAGGCCTACCTTTGTGAATTTTGGATCTGGAGGCAGGGCATTTCATCTAGAGAAAAAAGGGACATATTCAGCATGGGAGCAGCACAAGCAGAGCTGCAGTTACTGATCCCAGAGGAGCAGCAGCCTCACCCACCACTTTGGAGCTCCTGTACCACCTAGAGCACCTCCCCTCATTTTGTCTCCCAAGTTACCCAGGGTTAGTTGAAATAAAACAGAAAGGCTGCCACACCCTGGCCTTACATCTCACCTTCCCCCTGACCTCTCCAATGCATTAACCAATCCTTTGGTGGGCCAGTACACCAGCCACATCATCATCTCACTTTGCCTTGCTTGTGTGTTTGGTTTTTGCTTTCCCTACTAAATCATCTTTATCTCAATTCATAAGAGAATTTTCACTTTCTCACTTTTTCTCTCCCACTTCACTCCCCATCCCAGGGGGATGCCGGAGGGTGGCTGTGTGGGGCTGAGTTGCCACCTGGGGTTAAACAGTGACCCTTAGTCCCTTAGGGTCAAAGTCAGTATTAGCTGTGCTATGGATGCTGATATTTACCAATAGCTGCCTCATCCTCATCTGGATTTACCCCCAACTTTATAAAAGGAAAAATTCTTCGAATTTTTTCATCTCCATCAACTGACACAAGCACCAGATTGGATCCAGCACCCCCTGACTGAAGTTCAGTCCCCCTCACTGGCACTGAAGTTGCTACAACAACTGTTCAAAGCTGCCCAGGAACCCTGAACTCCTGAAATAGGCTGCAGTTGTTACCTCTGTCTTCTGGCACTGCTTCCTTGCTCCCGAGATGGCTCGCAGCAGCTGCTGGGCATAGGACAACATTTCTGTGCAGGTGGGATGTCAAAGAGCCAAAGCTCAGCCAGGGAAAGGAGCTGTTCCCCTCACACTGTGGCACACCCCCAATAGCACTGGGAAAAGCTGGAGCCTGCAGCCCCTGACAGAGCATCTCCCCCAGGGATTAGTTCAAGATGAAGCCAAGAGAACATTTTGAGGGACAGCCTCCCCTGTTTGCCCTCTAGCAGAGCTGGAGGCTGCTTGGGCTCTGCAGGAAGGAGACACTGGCAGGAGCTCTGCAGAACACAGAGCAGAGTCCGGGGTCTGGCAGCCCCAGAGGCCGAGCAGAGCCCAGGGACAGGATCCAGACAGGCTCAGGCACAGCTGTATGTCACTGTCATCAGACACTCAGGAACCTTTTACTCCAGACCTATTATTAGTACCAGAGTTCCACCATCTGTCTTTCCCATCACCCCCTCCCCATCCATCATGGGGATGGGAAGTGCCTCCCAGAACAGGTCCTCAAACACCAGCACTTCCTAATTAAACCCGACCAAATCCTGCCCTTATCATGATTGTACTACCAGGTTAATTAGTAAAAATGGTCTTTTTGGAACAATTTGATGTACTGACCAAGATATTGACATTTCCTAATGTTCCACCTTCAGTACATTACAATGTACCCTGTGTTTGCTGTGGCAAATGTGACAGTGGCACGTTCTGTACACACAAATCTGGTGTTTGAGGGCAGACCTGGCCTTGGCCAGGATGGCATCACTCCAGGATATTTGCTTGCAATTTCTTCCTTCTGTTCCACTCTCCTTACATCACTTCTGCTCCACCTGTCTCCAAAATCCCCCATTACCAGCAGCCTCCTTGCCCCCCACAGTGAAGGATACCATCCACATGCAGGATCTGGACTCCCCACAGGCGAGCGTTGGCGAGGATGCTGCTGCCACTGCAGGTGTCCTGTACAGAGAGGTTTGGCAAAGCACAGCTCAAAGCACAGCCACGTGCAGCTCTAAACTGAGCTGAGGGCCCTTCCTGCTGCCCAACTGACACAGCACTGCATGGCTCTTATTAAAACCAGGGCACAGCAGTAAAGGATCGAACTCATGCTTTATCTATCCCAAATTAACAGGGCAAATGTTTCATCCCTGCTACAGCATGAGCTTCTAAGTGGGCACTGAGATTTATCTGGCCACTTGTGACCTCAGGGAAAGGACTGCAGGGGAGCCTTTTGCCCCAGCTACATTACTTTAGTTCTTAGGCTAAAAATTCATCTAACAACAGGCCTTGTGTCAATAATTCTCTTGTGTTGAGCACCCAGATGGCTGGGACAGGCCTTAGAGGTACAACACCAGATGACACGGCTCCATAAATAGCAGTGACCAGGAGCACTACACAACATTCTGCAGGTCACAAGCAACTGCTTTGTGCCTTTCCCAGCCCCAGGATCTGCTCTGTCAGCAGGGCAGGGGCTCTGCAGGAAGGCTGGCACTGCTTCTGCTCTGCTCAGCAGAACTCTGAGCACACCCAGCCCCAGCAGAGCCCGTCCAAAGCTGCTCACCTGGTTCTTCATGGCCTTGTGCAGCAGCTCCTTCCCCCGGCTCAGCAGCGCCTGTGGAGAGAGGAAACACAAACAGGTCATGGCAAAGAGCTGGAGAACATCAATCCCTGGGGATCCCCACACTCTGCTGGGCTCATCTCTGCCAGTGGAGAGAGCCTTTCCAGGGAAGGCAAACTGCAGAGAGGACCACTCAACTGCACCAGCCAAGGCTTGGAATTATCGACCAGCAGTGAAATGAAGGCTCCAGAGTGAGCCAAGAGGAAGCAGCAATTTACCTTGGAAACTGCCTGCTGTGTCATGGAATTGTTCAGGCTAGAAAAGCTCTGTAAGGTCAGGCAGTCCAACCCTGCCCCAGCATGGCCAAGGTCACCACTGACCCACGTCCTCAGGTGCCACAACCACAGTTTTTAAACCCCTCCAGGGATGGGGACCCCACCACTGCCCTGGGCAGCTGTGCCAGGGCTGGACAACCTTTTTCATGAAGGAGTTTTCCCTAACATCCAATCTAAACCTGCCCAGCACAACTTGAGATTGTTTCCTCTTGTCCACCACTTGTAACCCAGGAGAAGTGACCAAGCCTCATCTGGCTACAACCTCCTGTCAGGGAGTTGTAGACACATCAGGTCCCCCGAGCCTCCTGTTCTCCAGGCATTCCAGCAAGCTGGCCAGGGTTAAGAACATCCTGGGAACTGAGCCTTATTTTCAAGCCAATGGTCTCAGCAGATTGGTTCAGCACTTGGTAAGACAAAGGACAGTCCTGGGAGCCAGGACAGGGACAAAAACTGGGAGAAATCTCTGCAGCTCAGGTTTCCTACTGCAGGTGCTGAAGCTCAAGCTGGCAGAGATTCCCCAGGCCTGGACTGGGGCAGCTGCCTTTCCCCAGTCACAGCTTCCAGCAGACACCACGTTCAAGGTGGGATGTTGGAGTTTGACCACAAGCATTTGTGAGCAGAAAGCCCAGCTCCAACAGCCAAATGGGACCAGGAGAAGCCCCTTCCTGCAGGAGGCTCCCATGGATCTCCTCCCAGGGTACAAGGGCCTTGCCCTGTGTCTGTGAGTACCCAGAGACTGCAATGGTTTTCTCTGGCCTACATTTCTCTGGCTTTTCTCACCACACTCCTGCCTGTTCCCTCAGGAGGCCAGCCAAGGCCTCCACCTCCTCTGCCATTCCAGATTTCCTTGATTACAGCCCAAAGCTGTGACATGCATGTTTGAGTAGACAGTGATGGCAGACACAAGGAACAAGAGTATGAATAGGAACAGCCAGGGAAACAGGAATAAAACACACAGAATATTTGCTCACAGCAGGCACAACTCCACCTTCCAAAACCGGCCCCAGATTCTACCCTACAGACCCCTTGGGCCAAAACCTTTGTAGCTCTTACAGTGTAGGGTGGCTTCTGGCGAGGTCTGGCTGGGTTCCCTTTGGGGGCAGCAGGCACTGAGCTGCTGCATTTTGTGCCTTCTGCAGTTGGGCTGCTCAGCTTCTCCTCCCGAGCCCTGGCCTGGCCCCGCTTGGCCTCTCTGTTGCTGGACACCACGCAGGTGACTTCTTTGCTGAGGAAGCTTTCGGTCACCTGCAGAGAGACAGAACAGAGCAGCTCTGCAAGTGTCTGAGCCTGAGCTGACAGACCCCTGCTAAACAAAGCTACTGCCCCTGGCTCAACCCTCACACAGTGAGGGGCTGCTGGAAGCAACCACATTCCTTCTTTCATTCCTTACTGCCGTCCCCAAGAGGAGGAGGTCCTGTGATGCCCTAGAGATTCACTGCAAGTAGTCACCAGAACCTCAGACCCAGACATCCACAACTCTGCCACCACCACCTACTCCTCACACAGTGCTTTCAAAAAAACCCAGCAGCTGAGGAAAAGGCCCTGGACTCCATGGATCAGCCTGGAGGAGCTCTGTCCCCAGGAGAACATAACAAGTTTTACAAAAATAAAGGAGAAGGCGAATAACTGGGCAAGCAGCTCCACAGATAACAGGGCAGGAGGGAACCAGAGAGATGAGACACATACACACACCTTTGCACAGGAGCTACCAGGCCAAGAAGAGGTGGAAACCCAAAAGTTGTTTGGAATACAATACAAATGGAATTGTAAGCCAAAAATGACTTGGCTTCTCAGAATCTGTGCAGGAGGAGAGGATCACAGGGCACAGGTGTGAAGCCCTTAGGAAGATCTGGGCAGCCCAAAATCACAGCTGCTGAACAGGCTGGTTCTGCTCCATTGCAGAATCCCTGTAGGTGGAGATTCCCAAACCATGACGTGGTTGTGAAGTGCTACAAGGGTCACTGCAGGCTGTGCTGCAAGCACAGAAGAGGAAATCACAACTCCCCCTTCCAAATAACACTGCAGACTATCACCAGCCCCGTGCCAAGTTCACGGTGCCACATGCAAGCCCAAGGCCAGAGGATGTCCTTACCTGTGCCCTGAACTACACACAGAACCTGGGCTTGGATATTGCTGCCAAAGAGCTGCTTTACAGACAGTGGCTGTGCTGTAGTTCAGCATCTCTACAGAAACAAGAGGAATGAGAGCTCCACTGCCAGGGGACCTCATGTCAGACAGGGAGGGCCAGGATGGTGTTTGATAGGAACCAAATGAAAGGTCAAAGTCTAAAATTATTTCCAAATAACACAGCAGCTGCATAGAGAAGTAACTGTCTGCTGGGAGTACTGGGTTCTCAGACTTGAGGATGCCCAGCTAGGAAAGAGATGTCCCAAGTGTGGGTGGCACATCCAGCGGAGGGCAGGGAGAAACCAGCAAGTTCAGGGTGAAGATGTAATTAATGAAAGAGAAAACAGTGCAAGTCACCTTCCCCACCCTGTCTGTGCAGCCAACACCTGATCAGGGCTGAAGGGATGCAGCATCAGCAAGAATTAAAACATTTTACCCGTGTGTACGTTGTAGGATTTAAGTTTTGAGGTTACATGAGATGATCATCTTGGAGAGGTTAAAGAGCTTGAAAACAAATAGCAACAACTGTTAGAATCAAACTGTGCACAAGAATAATGAGACTGAAAGATCTGACTGAACAACAGGTACAACCCTATGCTCAGCTCCAGCTTGAGGGACTGAGGTGATGCTACTTTTTGGCGCGTTTTGGGACAGGATATAAGGAATTGATGAGGAATATCAGCAGCAAGGAAGCCTGGAGGCCATGAAGGATGCCACAGGGATCCACCCAAATAACAGCATCCCAGGGAAAAGGGTCCAGATGGCTTTTCTGTGAAAACCATGAAAAAAGCACACAGCTCTATGACAATAACCTTGGCTGGCATTTCCCTACTTTACCCTATGTTGAATTCCATTTAGAAGTCCCACAACTTTCCAAAATAATTAAACTGCCACGGGCTGTTGTCAGCGATGAGGGGGAACTACACACAGTTACAACCACCCGGAGAACGTGCCCCTGGCCAGGCAAACCAAGGTGATGGGGCAGCCATGACCACACAACAGCTGATCCATCAGCTCTGGGAGGGGCCCGGCAGTGGCAGCCAGTTCCCAGCCCCTGGGAAGCGCTCCCAGGACGAAGTGAGCATCACCCCTGCCTGGAAGCACCTCCATGGCCGGGGAGCTGGTCCCCGCTGCCTGGGAGCTGCTCCCACGCTGGTCAGCAGCGCTGGCCGGGCCAGGCAGCCGGGAAGCAGCTGCAGTGTGGGGAGGGAAAGGCCGGAGCCAGGGACCCCGAGGGGCCGGGGGCGGCCTCCAGCAGCCCCCCAGGGCTCCGGCTGCCGGGGGGCCCGGGGAGAGAACCGGCTCACCGGAAAATCTGGAAACATTAAAAAAATGAGCTAAGACAGAAAAGGGGGACGGGGCCCCCAAGACACCCCCTAGATCCTCCCCACTACCAGGGACCCCCCGGCCCGGGCCCCTCCCAGCCCTCAGGCCCCCGGGCCGCGCTCACCCCACCGAGCCGCCCGATGGCCTCCGCCAGGTCTCGGGCGCTGCGGCCGCTCGGCAGGTCCAGGTAGAAGGACTGTCCGCGGAGGGGCCGAGGGGAGGCTGTGCCCGCCATGGTCCTGCCCGGAGCTCGGAGCCGCCGGGAGCCCGCCGCCGCTCGGCCGTGTTTAAATTCCGCCGCCCGCCCCGCCCCGCACGGCGGCCGCGCAGGGACGCGCGGCTCCCCGCCAAACCGCTCTGCGGAGAAAGGAGAAGCTGTGCCAAGGGCGCAGGTGGCGCAGGGGACACACGGGGCACACCGAGCACACCGGGCAACCCGCCCGGTCCCGCCGCTCCCGTCCGGGCACGGCCACACCGACCCCGACCCCGCTCCCGCCGGTGCCACAATTTTGTCCCGCCGCGGCCGCCGTCCCCCCGCTCTGAAGGCCCAAGATGGCGGCGCCCGGCGGGGCGGGCGCGGCCCCGATCCCGATCCCGGCCCCCGTCCTGCTCCCGGAGCCGCCGCCGTTCCCGGCCTGGCTCGCAGCGCGGCTGGACGCGCTGGGGCTGGACCGTGCCGTTTACGGCGCCTACATCGAGGGTCTGCTGCGGGAGGAGGAGAGTGACGAGGAGCGGCTGGAGGCGCTGCGGGCCGTCCTGGCCGCCTGCCTGGTGAGGGGCGGGGGTCCCTCCGCGGCCCCCGGGCGAGCGGGGTCTCGCCGTCCGCCCCGCGCCCATGAACGCGCCGTGCTCCCGCCGGGGCTTCCTGCAGCGAGCAAGGCACCGGCGGCTCCGTGGGTGCGGGGGGGACAGGCGGGGCGGCTCCCCGGAGCCCTGGGGTGCATCACCCCCTTCCCGAGGCGGATCAGCCCCTTCCCGGAGCGGGCTCCCCCCTTTCTGGAAGGACACACACCTCCAGGGGCTTTTTTACCCCCATCCCCGACCCTTGCGGCGTTTTCGCTGCTTGTTTGGGGCTGTTGTTGTCTGGGGAGGGGTTTTGGGCCAGGCTGGGGGCTGATGGAGGCTCTGGCCCGTGCTGGGGAAGGGGCTGTTCGTGGGGATCCCCTTGGTTTGTGTGCAGCGCTCAGGGCTCACCGCGAGCTGGGCAGCGCCAGGGGGGTTCCAGAAGGGACTTTGAATAGTAAATCCTCTGGCAGGAGTGTGTTGGGCGGTGCTCTCGTGCCTCACACACGCGTTTGTCTGTCAGGAATCGTCCAGCTGGGGCTGGGACGGACGGGAACAGCCGCGGGTGAGCCTGGAGGATGGGCAGGACATGCCTCTGCTCTGCCAGATTGCTGGGAGCCAGGAGAGTGCAGGGAGGGATTTCTCTTCGCTAATCTTCCTTGTGTTATTTTTACAGTATCTGTGTCTCGGGGTTTTTCATAAATGGATGTTTCATAGTTTAAAATGTTAAATCATGAGTGGTGCTGGTGTTGGTAGCTGTCTGCTTAGTGGTTGTCGCTGATTTCCTCCCAAAATGTGTGGGAGCACAAAACTCAGAGGGACTGGGTGGGTACAATCAGCGATCACAGGCATGACAGCATTCCTTCTGTACCCTGACTGTACCACTCCAGATGGGTTTCCTAAAAGTCAGAGCACCCTCCCCTGCCGTCCCTGTCCCCTGCCCACCCTGGGGCACAGCAGCGAGCTTCTTCAGCTGTGGCAGAGCAGCTTTGGGCCTAAAAGAGCTGGAGAAGCAAACGGTGCATCCTGAGGGAGGGAGCCAGGTGTCTTTGCAAAGTGCTGCTCTGCAGTAGTCGAGGTTAATTAATCACCCTGTAATTACCAGACTTCATCCCATCCCCATCACTGTGCCTGGCCCTCTCCAGGCCTGGGAAGTGTGTCCTGTGTGAGCAGGGCTGGCTGGCCCTGCCACTGATATTCCCTTTCCTGACAGTCTGGTTTTCTGCTGTTTCCCCTTTCCTGCTCAGTGCTGAGTTCCTCTCTGTGGTGCTGCTGCCAGGACTGAGCAGCTCTGGGGTTCCCATGTCCTGTGAGCCCAGGGCTGCCCCAGTCACACCACGGCCTTTTCCTTCTCTGCCACAGCCATGTTGAGCCTCATTTGCAGTTTCTGGCTCAGTTTGATTTTTCTGCCATTCCTCTAAAATATTTTTGTCTCTTGAACCCTCAGACTTTGTAATTACTCTTTGTAGTCTGTTCATTTTTAATTTCTTTTTTGTTTCTTTATTTTTAGACTATGTGTTTATTTCTGTATTGCCTTTTGAAACAGTGTTTTATTTGGTGGATTTCAGGCTTTTCTTGCCAAGTCTCTTCTCCTAGTTCCATACACAAATTACAGGGGATTTTTTTTTTTGTGTTCACTTGTTTGTATTTTACAAACCTTATTAAAATAAGGTGGCATCTCAGGTGACATCTGCTCTCATGTCCATGGTTCCTCAGTCCTGATCATATCTTACACTAGTGAGTTTATTCAGATGCCACAGTTTCTAATCAAGAAACTTAAAATCTAGTTTTATTTCTGTCCAGTTTTTCCCTTTTAAGCCAGACAGAATCTGCCTCACTTGTATTTTCCATGGTTAATTTTTCTCTGTATTTACTGAATTCCAAACCAACATAATTTCTTGTTTGTTTGGAAATATTTGGTGGTGGCCTCTGAGGTCTGTGATCTCCCATCAGTGGTGTTTGGCTCTCCCACATTCTATGGAGCAAATGCAAATCAGCTCCAAGACGTTCAGCACCTTTAAGTAACAAATTTAAGCAGGGGAGAAGAACACCTGCAGAAGCACAGCTGGAGAGAGGAGTGAGAACCTGTGAGAGGAACAGCTCTGTGGGGTCAGTGGAGAAGGAGGAGCAGGAGCTGCTCCAGACACCGTGGCTGAGATTCCTGAGATTCTGTGGGGAAGGCCATGGTGAGGCAGCTGTGCCCCTGCAGCCCCTGGAGATGCACTTTGGGGCAGAGATTCACCTGCAGCCCCTGGAGGAGCCCCTGCTGGAGCAGGGGGATGTGTCCCTCTGCCACTTCTAAGTCGTGTTTAATGTTCCAGGCAGGTCAAAGGGGACCAGAATGTCCCTGATGGTGGGAGGTGATGGATCTCAGCACCACCACAGTGGTTCCAGCTCTGCACTGGCCCTGACCCTTTATCCCATGTCATTTATTCCCTTTCGTGAGCTTGATGTGGAGTGGCACTGAGTCATTTCCCTGTGGCCTTGCTCAGGAAGAGGGAGGATGCTGGGAGGAGGCTTTGGGAGCAAAGATCCCCGATGGCCTCCTGGCTGCGGGCAGGGCCGTGGCTCCTGCACAGGCACCGTGGTGAAACCCACGTGTGTCAGAGCTGTTCATGTGTGCAGTGACCAGACACGGTGTGGTTGTGTCATCCCACAGAAACCAGAGCCCTGTGTGTGTTTAACAAGTAGATTTGGGGTGAAAAGCTGTATTCCTGAGCTGACTGCTGGGCTGCAGATCCTTTGTAGCTGCTGCTTTTCCTGTCTGACTGGTGCTGGTTTGAAGCAGTCAACTCTGTTCCAAGTCTGAGGAGTCTCTTTTCCCTTACTAGGAAGAAGATCTCTTGAATGATGTGTGCAGGGAAGTTGTGGAGAGGTGGTCTGACTCCCAGGTCGTTGATGCCAAAGAGGAGAAAGAAGGTAGGGTGCTGTGCCTTGGGGTGCTCAGTGTGGGGTGACCTGCAGGGCCTCACCTCAACAGGAACTTTGTGTTTGTCCTGGTAGGACTTGAACCAACACTGCCCCGTGGCTGCAGGTGTGACCTGCCTCTCATTCCACTGCTGATTCACCTGGCATGGGGCTGAGCACTTTGGGCTGCCCCCGCATTTGCTGCTCCTTGGGTTCATCATCCTGCAGGGGAAAAGCTTTTTTCTGTTTGTTTTCTTGTTTGTGGGGATTTTTTCCTTCTGTTGTAGTTTTCTGGTCTGACATTGGGTTTTTTTTTTGTGGTGGTTGTTTGGTTTGGGTTTTTTTGTTTTTTTTTGGGGGGTTGTGTGTGTGGTTTTCGTGTTGTTTTTTTTTTTTGTGTGTGTGTATATATATATATATATATATTTCTATATGATTTTTTCCTGATGAGATGATCAGTAAGGTCCAACCCAAACCATTCTGTGGTTTCTTCAGAAACCTTTCCCAACACGTCTCTGTTTCCCAACAGGCTGTCTCTGTTCAGTTCTGGCACTGCAGCTGTTATTGTATAGAAACCTGTGCTGCTTCTGTCTGTGCCAGTCAGGAAAGGAGCTGGTTTGTACAACTGCAGCTGCCCCTGTGGAGAGCTGGGCTCACCTCACACATGCCTCTGTATTTCCTCATTCAACATTTTCCCTTACAATTCTCCTTTTTTCCCATAAATGCTAACTGGAGGAAGTTCTGTGAGGCTGCTGATAAACTGTCACTGCTCCTTCCCCAGCCCCAAACAGCCCCACTGTCCCTGTGTCCCCTCCCTGAATCCATCCCTTGTCCTCAGCTGGGAGCCAAGACCTCTCCTTGTCCTTGTTCACTGGAGAGGTTTGTCCTGTGCAGGGCTCTGGATGCAGTGGAGCTCCCTGTGCTGGGAGGATTTGTGGTTCAAGCAAGGATCAGTGACATTGCAGTGGCACAGACCTGACAGGAGACAGTGGAATGTCCCTTTGGGCTAAATCCTGCTTTTTGTTTGCTTTGCATTTTCTTGGTGCCTCTGGTTGCAAACAGCACATGGTCAGTGCCCAGTGTCACCCAGGAATGGCTCTGGCAGCAAGTCCCTTGTCACTGGATCAGCCCCAGCATCCCCCTCTCCCTCACCCCCTGCATGGACACAGCAGCTCAGTGGCTTTCCCCAAAAATCCTGGAAGTCTCTTCTTGGCCTGACCTTGCCTTTGTCTGGGGACAGGGAGAAGTTAATGCTGTTCCATGCATTAAATGAAATAAATTTCTCCTGGGGACAAGTGACTGGGATTGCTGGAGCTGCTGCTGGGCTTCTGCTCCTGCCAGTGCTCACCCACAGGGATTTTTCTTGTTATAAAAAGGCAGCACAGTGTGTCTGGGCTCATGGAATTCCAGGGTGAAATTATTTCACTGGGATTCCATAAAATGATAAATTCCCTCTGAAGTGTGTATCCACTCAGAATAACAGAGTCCTGAGGATAAGTGATTAACAGACTAAAATAAAATTGGTGTCAAAACCCAGATGACATT